CTAATCTACATCTCTGTCAACAGAGAGGTGTAGTCTAGACACAGCCTGTTCTTCTCACAAACACACGCTGTTCTTCACTCATCTCCCGACCAAACACATACTTGGGGAGTAGTTAATTCTTTTACTGCTTGCTAAGTGGGTTATTTTGGGGGTTTTGACTGGATTTCATAATTTTCATTTCTCTCTTGCGCTTAAAATTTAATTCGGTCAGTCTTTTACTGCTTGCTAAGTGGGTTATTTTGGGGGTTTTGACTGGATTTCATAATTTTCATTTCTCTCTTGCGCTTAAAATTTAATTCGGTCAGTAGTGAGTTCTCAAATGCCTATCCTGTCATAGCTGGAGTAATTATCCCTGTGGCAATTGCTGCTCTTGGAAGTGGCTGGCATGTCCCTGCAGCCCTTGAGAAAGGATGAGCAGGGGGTCTCCACATGCTGTCCTTGCCTGCAGACACCATTCCTGCAGCCCCCATTGATCAGTAACGGAGGACCTTGGCCAGGGAAAGCTGTGGGCTCAGTGCCTGTGGATGAGGGGCAGCACATGGCTTCATGGAGCTGTTGCTGTACATGTAGGGTTGCCAAATAGCTTAACCAAAAATACCGAATGCCTCCTCTCCCTAACCCCCTCCCTTTTGTAGGTATCTGGTATTTTCTGATTTTTTTTTAAAACCAGTGAGGTGGTGAAAATACTGGACACCTGGCAACCCTATGTACATGCCAACTGCTTTCAGGAGTAGTGCAGGGCCAGGGCAGGAGTATGCCTGCCTAAAGCCACTGTTCCACCACCGACCCGGAAGCTGTCTCTGTTAAACAATAACCAGCTGGAGCCTGCTTGCTGAACCCCTGTCCCAGTCGGGAATCCCCTCCTGCCTCAGACATGAGACTCCTGCACACAAACTCCTTCCCAGAGATTGCTCCCTGAAACTATTCCTGGACCCCAATCCTCCACTCTGGGCTGAGCCCCTCCCACACTCCAAACCCCTTGGCCCAAGACCAGAGCCTGTACCCCGAACCCCTACCTCAGCCTGAAAGTGAGTGAGAATGGGGGAGAAAAAGGGAAGGAGTGAGCAGGGCAGGGCCTCAAAGAAGGGGCGGGAAAGAAGTGGGGCAAGGGTATTTGGGTTTGAGGTGGATCTTACATTGCACTTATATTAAAAAAGTGATCTTGTGGTTAAAAAGGTTGGAGATCACTGCACTACAGTAGCATCTCAGAGTTACAAATACTTTGGGAATGGAAGCTGTTTATAATTGAACAAAAATGTCAGTTATTCTTTCAAAATAGTTTACATCTGAACATTGATTTAATACAATCTGAAACTCTATTATGCAGTAGGGATGTAAGCAACTAGTCGACTATCCAATAATATAAGCTCATCCGATAGTCAGCTAGTGGCTTTTCCCCTCCACTGGCTGTGTCTATCAGAGGCAGAAAGGGGGTGAAGCAGGAGCCAGTGCAGGGGGCAGCCTGCTTCCCCCGAGCACCGTCTCGGTGGAGGTCAGGGCGGTACCGGGAATCGGGCATGAGCTGGGAATCAGCTGATTCCTGGTTTGCACCCAGTTCCAGATGCTGCGCCTCTGCTTCTTAAATGTATTAAGAGCCAGGCAGCATGAGCTGGGACAGCTGAAGACCTGGCATGAGTGAAGATAGCTGATTCCCGGCTTGTGCCAGGTCCATCCCTCCCCCCAATCCACTGCACACCAGCCTTTTAAAATGTATTAAGAGCCAGCTTTTAAGCCAGCCCACCCTCCGAACACTACCCCAACCTCTGTCTGCAGCCTCTTATGCAGAGGCAGCAAGGAAGGGGTAAATGCGAGTAGTCGACATTAACCAAATTCAAGAGTATTCTGGATATAATGATGCTATCCCAATTTGTTCTCTGTGGGTTGAGTGGAGGTCTCAATCAAGCGTGGTTTCAAATATATTTTGTGTTGGAATAAATGTTTTCATCCCCACCCATGCAGTACTGGGCTTACTATGGCATCTATAGTACCATCACACTCGAAAGAGACCAAGAATTACTACATGGAAGCCCACAAATATGTTTGGCATCAGTCCTACAAAAGGTTAATCCAGTCCAGAGTGTTATATGTCCTGAGTGTATCATGCAATTTGTCAGCTTGGTTGCCTTGGGAAATGACTGGTCTCTCCAGCACCCAGGAGGAAAGCAAAACAGCAATCTCTAGACCGGTTTTTTCAAGTTGGAAAAGTTCAGCAAAAGCAGCTGGATGATCCTAGGAATGTAAAATCCTGCTTAATACCTGATTAAACGGGGGGTGGGCTGGAGCAGTCCTTGCACCACAGGGAGGGTCTGCTCTGGCCCAGCTGCTTCCGGCCCTGTGTGGGCTGGGAGTCGGCAGCACCCTGCGCCTGCGCTGCCACTTCTGGCCCCGCGCGAGGTTACCTGTTCACATCCCTAAACGATCCACCTTTATACTTCACCACCTCAACCATCAAGCATCATTGTTGAGTACAGTATTAAACATGGTTAAAAATAAATGTTTATATACATATATAGTATAAGTTTTAATGTTTTGTCTGCCAAAAAGTTTCCCTGGAACCTACTCTCCCCACTTGACATTAATTCTTATGGGGAAATTGGATTCACTTAACATCCATCCTTTCACTTAAAGTCACATTTTTCAGGAATATAATTACAGTGTTAAGCAAGAAGTTACTATAATTCTGATTCCAAATGAAAGATGTGATTGACTGATCAGTTTGTAACTCTGGTGATCGTAACTCTGAGGTTCTACTATACTTTAGTTGCTAAATGCAAAGTAGAAACATTTGCACTTTCTGTATCTTGGGCAATTTAACAGGACTGTAAAGGATATACCAAAGTTAATCTAAATACCTATTTTTATATAAACCCTTTAAAGTTACAAAACAATTCTCAAAATTAAAGTGAAATAATAGTACAGCGGTTATTATAGGAAATAACTAAAGCAGACTATGGAAAAAAATTAAAATCCTTATTTGAAAATTAAACAGACAGGAAAAATATTAAACGTAATACATTACATAAAAGGCCACACAAAAACCTGATAGTTCTGAAATATGTTCAGTATTGCATGGGTATGAAAGAAGGGAGGAGTTTATGTAAAGAAAAATTATCTTATTTAGGCAATAACTATCTAATCCCTCCAGCTCTTTACCCTCCTGTTTTAATACTTGGGAAAATGCCCCCATCCTGGTTGACAGTATATATTCAAATCCAACAAATTAAGCATATATTCAAACCCATCGGTTAGGCCAGGGGTGGGCAATAATTTTTGGCTGGGGTCCACTTCAAAATTTTTTGAAGTGGCCCCCGGGCCAGAAGGGGTGGGGACAGAATGCTTCTGGGCTTCCTCACCTCCAGACCATAATTGGTCTGGGGGTTGGGGAGCCCCTTTGCCCCTCCCTTCCCACTAGGCACCCATGCCCCAGGCAGGGCGGGAAGAGGCTTCACACACACACCTCTCCACCCACCCACAGGGCGGGAAGAGGCTTCACACACACACACCTCTCCACCCCGCCCCCATGCCCTGATTGGCCTGGGGGCAGGGGAAACATGTGATGCCTCCTCCCACCCTGTGAGCAGCGCATGGCATTTTGAAGTGCCTGTCACTCTTTGTAGGGCCAGGACAGGGAGAAGAAAGCTTCACAAAGCTTCCCCGCCCCCAGGACCTGAATGGCCTGGAGGTGGGGGGAGTGCGCAAAGCCTCCTCCGGCCCTACCCCCACCCTGTGAGGAGCACTTCAGTGCGCCACGCGCTGCTCACAGGGCGGGAGGAGATGTCACACGCTCCCCTGCCCTCAAGTCCTGATTGGCCTGGGGGAAGAGGGGGAGCTGTGCGAAGTTTCCCTCGCCCTGCTCCCGCACTGCACGAGTATACAGCAGTTTGAAGTGCCATGTGCTCCTCGCAGGGCAGAGGAAACTTTGCACTGCTCCCTCACTCGCAGGCCAATCAGGGGTTGGGGCAGGGAAGCGCGTGACCTCTCCTCCCGCTCTACAAGCGGTGCCCAGTGCTTCAAAGAGCTGTGAGCTGCACACAGGGTGGGAGGAAGCTTTGTGAGCTCCCCTACCCCAAAGGCCTTGGGGTGGGGGAATGGCAGAGCCTCTGCGGGCCAGATCAACCCACTTGGCAGCCCAGATCCAACTCACGTGGCCCTTTTGCCCACCGCTGGGTTAGGCAGAACTCGTTGAATAGTCTATCATAAGCAAAGGAATGTTTATTTACTTCAATTTACATACACATTTTAAAAAGGGTCCTCAGACAGCAAAGAGGCAACAAAAATCTGCTTTTCAGCAAACAGAGGTGATAAGAAATACAGTGTGACCGGTTTCTCCAAGAGTCCTTGTCTCTGTCTTTGTGGCTAAATTAACTTTATCTAAGGGTCAAGTATCAGAGGGGTAGCCGTGTTAGTCTGAATCTGCAAAAGCGGCGAGGAGTCCTGTGGCACCTTATAGACTAATTGAAGTGTTGGAGCATAAGCATTCGTGGGCAAAGACCCACTTCCCATGCATCTGACGAAGTGGGTCTTTGCCCACGAAAGCTTATGCTCCAACACTTCAGTTAGTCTATAAGGTGCCACAGGACTCCTCGCCGCTTTTATCTAAGGGGTAACTCAAGAAAGTACATTTCATAGGGCGGCTAAACTATAAAAGTGAAGGGCAAAACACCCAAAGTTACTATTCATTTTTTTCTCTATTCCACTAAGCTTGTTGGCAACCAGAGTGCAACTGATACCTGGCTGTCAGGCTGGAGCTATACGCAAACACTCAGTGAGAGACCCAGATGTTGTTTGGCAGAAGCCCAGGTGGAAGCTGCAGGAGAGCACTGTGAGGCAGTGAAAGTTGCATGGCATGTGGCATCAGAGCCCCTTGCTGATCTGGATTTCACCCTGGACTGTCATCGATCTGCAGATATGGGGCATCTACCAAACATATAGTAGAGATGGCCACTCCGGCAATTACACATTTAATATTAAAATTGAAAAATTAAAATTTTAGAACTTACGTTAGTGCATCAACAGATTGCTCCAGTCTTCTCTGTAAATCCTGAGAACCAACCTCCCTGGTATTATCCAATATAGGCTCTTCTATAGGCACTGCTGTTTCTTCCGTTCCAGCAGTAGAAATGACAAATATTTCAGTTTTCCGATGCTTTGTGATCCCATCTTTCTGAAGGGCAGCTGGGTTCTGCGAATCCTTTCCATGTCTGTTGTGTTCATCTTGGAAGGTAGACTGTTTAGATTCTCCCAAAGAAGATTTTGATCCAATTTTAAATAGGCTTCCAAGGAACTGAAAAAAGCCTTCTTTGTGTTGTCTGCCACGACCTGCTCTTTTGCTAGTAGGAACCAGACTGGGAAGGCTTTTAGCCTTTTTTAATTCCTCTAGGATTGTGGAGTTGCTTAGATCTTCCATTGAGTAATTCTTCTCTGCATTTTGAGGAATCTTAAAAAAAAAATTAATAATAAGTGAAACAGAACCAAAACATCAATTTTCAAACTCTACTCCAAAACACCTTAAACTGACTAAAAACATTGTACAGTATTACTTTTGGCTGCTCTGTTGTTTACAAGACCATTCTTAAGAGCTTTGTCTAATCTTCTTTACTTTGTTTTGCTATTTAAGATACCTCTACTTATTTTTCTGTTGCTGAAACTGGTCCCTTTATTGAAAGCTTACAATTTTAAGAAGTACTTATGGTTTTAATACGGGTTTTGAAAAGGCTATTTTTATGAAAAAACAACACAGACTTTGAGGTTCCCTGGACAATGGCTCTGGAGGTAAATAAAGCACAGTACAATGGAAGCAGCACAAAAATAATTTAAGCTAGCACCAAAGGCAATGAAGAAGCAAGGAGCAGTTTTTCAGAGAATGGGATTGCAAGGAAGCAGAAAACATGTTAGTTAAGGATGTGAAATGGTTTGGGACACAAGATCCAGTCCTTTCACCCTTAGTGCATGTGTAAGTAGTTCCAGTGCAGTCAATGTGACTACTCAAATGAGTTGCAGAATCACATCTTAAAGATTGGCTTAATAATTCACATGCTTCACCTGAGATTACCAATTTTTATTTCTGATCACTTTTTTTTTTTTTTTAAAGAATTAGCAACCACACATTTCTGTGAAGAAAACTCTGACCATTGTTTTGGGCAAGGACAGAGGATTCGCCAGACATTCAATTAGGCCCTTGGCCTTCATTGGTTCAAAAACACAGGGTACATATAACTACACAGCTTTTAGTGACAAGGCTGTGTTAACACAGCTTTGTGACCAAAAGTCAGGTTGTGTGAACACTCTCAGCTTTATGAGGAGGTTTTCCTTTGTCGGCAGAAGGATTCTCATGTGTAGCATTCACACTTTCAACTTGCTGTGGCAAAGCTTTGTTGGTTGTGGCAGATTTTTTTTTAAATCACCTGCGAACAACAAAAGTGTTGCCAATCAGGTGCAAGTGAAGACATACCAACAATCTCAGAGACCAAGAGCCCACATCTGCTAGTAAGCAGAATATAGTTTTACATTTTCTTGTATGGGAAGGTCCCTGTAGGCTCTGTCGCTCTCAAATTAACATGGTAAGGTCTGAAAATACCCAAGACCTTCTTAAATGTGATTTTTAAGAACATATTTTCATCAATATAAGGAAGGGAGACTCAGAACAAACATAAATCTAAGTAAAATCTTTATAACAGCAATACCTTTGGATAAGAGTAAGCAACGTTATTTGTGTAACACTCACTTATCCTACCAATGTAGTAGGTCAGCATTTTCATAAAACCCTTTTTCTTTTTTTTTGGGGGGGGGGGGGGGCGGAAGGGAAGAATTAAGAAATGCATATTGAGCACTAAGCTAGTTATTTTCAGTAGACAGAAACAGTTTTGCTCAGTAGAAGGACTGCTCAATGGGTTATGTGCCTGATTGACAAAAAGCACTATTTTAATTTAGTGCCTCCTTTTATCACCTGGGGACCAGTGATAAACTCTTTGATGAGAAGCAGGCAACATGTTACTTAAAAGTTTTACTTATAGTTGAATATATTGATCTTTAGCCTTGAACTAAATATTTTACTAACTTATTTCTTCAAAGAGTGGAGTATGGTTTACTATGCTATGTTAATAACTGGGTTTATGAAATGTTTACTTTTGTGGTGCAATACCCCTTCAGGCTATGGTATTTAAAAAAAAACAAAAAAAACAACAACAACAAAAAACCACAGAACACTGCTCATGAACATACAAATAGAACCTTACTAATTTACTAGGAGGCTGCAACCGCTGCTCTCAACGCTCACCAACCAGCTTTTGCAGCCAGAGAGTGTGATGACATCATTCTGTCGCCTGGCAGGAAAATCTTTTATTTTTATTTATTTATTTATAAATAAATAAATAAATAAAAATAAAAGATTTTCCTGCCAGGCGACAGAATGATGTCATCACACTCTCTGGCTGCAAAAGCTGGTTGGTGAGCGTTGAGAGCAGCGGTTGCAGCCTCCTAGTAAATTAGTAAGGTTCTATTTGTATGTTCATGAGCAGTGTTCTGTGGTTTTTTGTTGTTGTTGTTTTTTTTGTTTTTTTTTAAATACCATAGCCTGAAGGGGTATTGCACCACAAAAGTAAACATTTCATAAACCCAGTTATTAACATAGCATAGTAAACCATACTCCACTCTTTGAAGAAATAAGTTAGTAAAATATTTAGTTCAAGGCTAAAGATCAATATATTCAACTATAAGTAAAACTTTTAAGTAACATGTTGCCTGCTTCTCATCAAAGAGTTTATCACTGGTCCCCAGGTGATAAAAGGAGGCACTAAATTAAAATAGTGCTTTTTGTCAATCAGGCACATAACCCATTGAGCAGTCCTTCTACTGAGCAAAACTGTTTCTGTCTACTGAAAATAACTAGCTTAGTGCTCAATATGCATTTCTTAATTCTTCCCTTCCGCCCCTCTCCCCCCCCCCAAAAAAGAGAAAGTGTCTTCAAATAGAAACAGCACAAGAGAGTTAATGAAAATGCTGACCTACTACATTGGTAGGATAAGTGAGTGTTACACAAATAACGTTGCTTACTCTTATCCAAAGGTATTGCTGTTATAAAGATTTTACTTAGATTTATGTTTGTTCTGAGTCTCCCTTCCTTATATTGATGAAAATATGTTCTTAAAAATCACATTTAAGAAGGTCTTGGGTATTTTCAGACCTTACCATGTTAATTTGAGAGCGACAGAGCCTACAGGGACCTTCCCATACAAGAAAATGTAAAACTATATTCTGCTTACTAGCAGATGTGGGCTCTTGGTCTCTGAGATTGTTGGTATGTCTTCACTTGCACCTGATTGGCAACACTTTTGTTGTTCGCAGGTGATTTAAAAAAAAATCTGCCACAACCAACAAAGCTTTGCCACAGCAAGTTGAAAGTGTGAATGCTACACATGAGAATCCTTCTGCCGACAAAGGAAAACCTCCTCATAAAGCTGAGAGTGTTCACACAACCTGACTTTTGGTCACAAAGCTGTGTTAACACAGCCTTGTCACTAAAAGCTGTGTAGTTATATGTACCCTGTGTTTTTGAACCAATGAAGGCCAAGGGCCTAATTGAATGTCTGGCGAATCCTCTGTCCTTGCCCAAAACAATGGTCAGAGTTTTCTTCACAGAAATGTGTGGTTGCTAATTCTTTAAAAAAAAAAAAAAAAGTGATCAGAAATAAAAATTGGTAATCTCAGGTGAAGCATGTGAATTATTAAGCCAATCTTTAAGATGTGATTCTGCAACTCATTTGAGTAGTCACATTGACTGCACTGGAACTACTTACACATGCACTAAGGGTGAAAGGACTGGATCTTGTGTCCCAAACCATTTCACATCCTTAACTAACATGTTTTCTGCTTCCTTGCAATCCCATTCTCTGAAAAACTGCTCCTTGCTTCTTCATTGCCTTTGGTGCTAGCTTAAATTATTTTTGTGCTGCTTCCATTGTACTGTGCTTTATTTACCTCCAGAGCCATTGTCCAGGGAACCTCAAAGTCTGTGTTGTTTTTTCATAAAAATAGCCTTTTCAAAACCCGTATTAAAACCATAAGTACTTCTTAAAATTGTAAGCTTTCAATAAAGGGACCAGTTTCAGCAACAGAAAAATAAGTAGAGGTATCTTAAATAGCAAAACAAAGTAAAGAAGATTAGACAAAGCTCTTAAGAATGGTCTTGTAAACAACAGAGCAGCCAAAAGTAATACTGTACAATGTTTTTAGTCAGTTTAAGGTGTTTTGGAGTAGAGTTTGAAAATTGATGTTTTGGTTCTGTTTCACTTATTATTAATTTTTTTTTTAAGATTCCTCAAAATGCAGAGAAGAATTACTCAATGGAAGATCTAAGCAACTCCACAATCCTAGAGGAATTAAAAAAGGCTAAAAGCCTTCCCAGTCTGGTTCCTACTAGCAAAAGAGCAGGTCGTGGCAGACAACACAAAGAAGGCTTTTTTCAGTTCCTTGGAAGCCTATTTAAAATTGGATCAAAATCTTCTTTGGGAGAATCTAAACAGTCTACCTTCCAAGATGAACACAACAGACATGGAAAGGATTCGCAGAACCCAGCTGCCCTTCAGAAAGATGGGATCACAAAGCATCGGAAAACTGAAATATTTGTCATTTCTACTGCTGGAACGGAAGAAACAGCAGTGCCTATAGAAGAGCCTATATTGGATAATACCAGGGAGGTTGGTTCTCAGGATTTACAGAGAAGACTGGAGCAATCTGTTGATGCACTAACGTAAGTTCTAAAATTTTAATTTTTCAATTTTAATATTAAATGTGTAATTGCCGGAGTGGCCATCTCTACTATATGTTTGGTAGATGCCCCATATCTGCAGATCGATGACAGTCCAGGGTGAAATCCAGATCAGCAAGGGGCTCTGATGCCACATGCCATGCAACTTTCACTGCCTCACAGTGCTCTCCTGCAGCTTCCACCTGGGCTTCTGCCAAACAACATCTGGGTCTCTCACTGAGTGTTTGCGTATAGCTCCAGCCTGACAGCCAGGTATCAGTTGCACTCTGGTTGCCAACAAGCTTAGTGGAATAGAGAAAAAAATGAATAGTAACTTTGGGTGTTTTGCCCTTCACTTTTATAGTTTAGCCGCCCTATGAAATGTACTTTCTTGAGTTACCCCTTAGATAAAAGCGGCGAGGAGTCCTGTGGCACCTTATAGACTAATTGAAGTGTTGGAGCATAAGCATTCGTGGGCAAAGACCCACTTCCCATGCATCTGACGAAGTGGGTCTTTGCCCACGAAAGCTTATGCTCCAACACTTCAGTTAGTCTATAAGGTGCCACAGGACTCCTCGCCGCTTTTATCTAAGGGGTAACTCAAGAAAGTACATTTCATAGGGCGGCTAAACTATAAAAGTGAAGGGCAAAACACCCAAAGTTACTATTCATTTTTTTCTCTATTCCACTAAGCTTGTTGGCAACCAGAGTGCAACTGATACCTGGCTGTCAGGCTGGAGCTATACGCAAACACTCAGTGAGAGACCCAGATGTTGTTTGGCAGAAGCCCAGGTGGAAGCTGCAGGAGAGCACTGTGAGGCAGTGAAAGTTGCATGGCATGTGGCATCAGAGCCCCTTGCTGATCTGGATTTCACCCTGGACTGTCATCGATCTGCAGATATGGGGCATCTACCAAACATATAGTAGAGATGGCCACTCCGGCAATTACACATTTAATATTAAAATTGAAAAATTAAAATTTTAGAACTTACGTTAGTGCATCAACAGATTGCTCCAGTCTTCTCTGTAAATCCTGAGAACCAACCTCCCTGGTATTATCCAATATAGGCTCTTCTATAGGCACTGCTGTTTCTTCCGTTCCAGCAGTAGAAATGACAAATATTTCAGTTTTCCGATGCTTTGTGATCCCATCTTTCTGAAGGGCAGCTGGGTTCTGCGAATCCTTTCCATGTCTGTTGTGTTCATCTTGGAAGGTAGACTGTTTAGATTCTCCCAAAGAAGATTTTGATCCAATTTTAAATAGGCTTCCAAGGAACTGAAAAAAGCCTTCTTTGTGTTGTCTGCCACGACCTGCTCTTTTGCTAGTAGGAACCAGACTGGGAAGGCTTTTAGCCTTTTTTAATTCCTCTAGGATTGTGGAGTTGCTTAGATCTTCCATTGAGTAATTCTTCTCTGCATTTTGAGGAATCTTAAAAAAAAAATTAATAATAAGTGAAACAGAACCAAAACATCAATTTTCAAACTCTACTCCAAAACACCTTAAACTGACTAAAAACATTGTACAGTATTACTTTTGGCTGCTCTGTTGTTTACAAGACCATTCTTAAGAGCTTTGTCTAATCTTCTTTACTTTGTTTTGCTATTTAAGATACCTCTACTTATTTTTCTGTTGCTGAAACTGGTCCCTTTATTGAAAGCTTACAATTTTAAGAAGTACTTATGGTTTTAATACGGGTTTTGAAAAGGCTATTTTTATGAAAAAACAACACAGACTTTGAGGTTCCCTGGACAATGGCTCTGGAGGTAAATAAAGCACAGTACAATGGAAGCAGCACAAAAATAATTTAAGCTAGCACCAAAGGCAATGAAGAAGCAAGGAGCAGTTTTTCAGAGAATGGGATTGCAAGGAAGCAGAAAACATGTTAGTTAAGGATGTGAAATGGTTTGGGACACAAGATCCAGTCCTTTCACCCTTAGTGCATGTGTAAGTAGTTCCAGTGCAGTCAATGTGACTACTCAAATGAGTTGCAGAATCACATCTTAAAGATTGGCTTAATAATTCACATGCTTCACCTGAGATTACCAATTTTTATTTCTGATCACTTTTTTTTTTTTTTTTAAAGAATTAGCAACCACACATTTCTGTGAAGAAAACTCTGACCATTGTTTTGGGCAAGGACAGAGGATTCGCCAGACATTCAATTAGGCCCTTGGCCTTCATTGGTTCAAAAACACAGGGTACATATAACTACACAGCTTTTAGTGACAAGGCTGTGTTAACACAGCTTTGTGACCAAAAGTCAGGTTGTGTGAACACTCTCAGCTTTATGAGGAGGTTTTCCTTTGTCGGCAGAAGGATTCTCATGTGTAGCATTCACACTTTCAACTTGCTGTGGCAAAGCTTTGTTGGTTGTGGCAGATTTTTTTTTAAATCACCTGCGAACAACAAAAGTGTTGCCAATCAGGTGCAAGTGAAGACATACCAACAATCTCAGAGACCAAGAGCCCACATCTGCTAGTAAGCAGAATATAGTTTTACATTTTCTTGTATGGGAAGGTCCCTGTAGGCTCTGTCGCTCTCAAATTAACATGGTAAGGTCTGAAAATACCCAAGACCTTCTTAAATGTGATTTTTAAGAACATATTTTCATCAATATAAGGAAGGGAGACTCAGAACAAACATAAATCTAAGTAAAATCTTTATAACAGCAATACCTTTGGATAAGAGTAAGCAACGTTATTTGTGTAACACTCACTTATCCTACCAATGTAGTAGGTCAGCATTTTCATTAACTCTCTTGTGCTGTTTCTATTTGAAGACACTTTCTCTTTTTTGGGGGGGGGGAGAGGGGCGGAAGGGAAGAATTAAGAAATGCATATTGAGCACTAAGCTAGTTATTTTCAGTAGACAGAAACAGTTTTGCTCAGTAGAAGGACTGCTCAATGGGTTATGTGCCTGATTGACAAAAAGCACTATTTTAATTTAGTGCCTCCTTTTATCACCTGGGGACCAGTGATAAACTCTTTGATGAGAAGCAGGCAACATGTTACTTAAAAGTTTTACTTATAGTTGAATATATTGATCTTTAGCCTTGAACTAAATATTTTACTAACTTATTTCTTCAAAGAGTGGAGTATGGTTTACTATGCTATGTTAATAACTGGGTTTATGAAATGTTTACTTTTGTGGTGCAATACCCCTTCAGGCTATGGTATTTAAAAAAAAACAAAAAAAACAACAACAACAAAAAACCACAGAACACTGCTCATGAACATACAAATAGAACCTTACTAATTTACTAGGAGGCTGCAACCGCTGCTCTCAACGCTCACCAACCAGCTTTTGCAGCCAGAGAGTGTGATGACATCATTCTGTCGCCTGGCAGGAAAATCTTTTATTTTTATTTATTTATTTATAAATAAATAAATAAAATAGAGAGACATTTTAATCATCACCATACCATGTATACAAAAATTGCCTTTTCTTTTCACTCTTCAGCAAAGGTAACTTGCCGAGTCAGCGCTAAATGAAAGTATTTTATTTTTTATAAAACAGTCTCAAAATATTTACCAGTATTCCAGATACTGGCATCTTAATTAAAATCACACTCATCAATTATTTAGACTTTCATTAGTGTGCCAGACCACCGATCTAGGCATATGCAGACTAAGATTTATAAGTCACATGAAAAGAAACAATATTCCTTGCTGAGTTAATGGACAAGGACATCCATAAGAAGGATTTCTATTTTATGCAGGTTTTTGTGCCACCATCATTGCAATGGGCTCATCAGTTACCCACCCATCCACTTTTAACCTTTCACAAAAGCCTAGTAAAAGAGAGGCCTTTCAGTGTGCTCTTATCCAGCTCTAGCACTCTCCAATCAAGAAGTGGAAACAGAAACAGCACAGTTGAAGACCACTTCCTCCCAGCACAGTTGAAGACCACATGTCTCCTGCCTCCCAGACCCTCTTCTGAACAACTGCTGATGTAAAATATCACAAGAGCATTTTCTGTTTTAGCCAGCATGCCAATTACTGCTGTATAGGTCAACACTATCCACTAGAGCAGTGTTTCCCAAATGGTGTTCCGCGGAACCGAAGTGAAAATAAGGGTTGTTAGAAAATTCCATTACAATAACATTTTATGATTTTTAAAAAATTAATATTTAAGCATTTATGAATTGTATTGAAAACAATTTTCATTTGTGTTTGCCACAATAAGTGTCCCTGTGTAATGCCAGCTTAGCCAGAGAGTGGGGACGATGATGTCACTACTCAGTGTATGTGCAGGCAGTCAGTGGTACGATCACCTGTTATATACCACCATAAATCCCCGTACTCACTCTTAGGGAGCATGGATCATGTGGGTGACTGAATACGAATATACTAGTGACACAAACAATGTCGAAGCTTCAGCTGTCAAACCAGTTGCTTTATTTTTTGTACACATTAAATGTGATTTTTGTTTTTAAATATGTGCAATTAAACTAAATGTTGATCTCATGACCTTGTTAAGCATTTCTTTATTATTATCCTTACTTATTTGTGGTCTACTTTTTCAGCTCCATATATCAGACTTATTAGGGGTTCCACAAAATTCTTTCAAGTTTAAAAGGGTTCTGTGGCCAGATAAAATTGGGAAACACTACACTAGAAGTATCCCTGCAAGGGAACTAGAAGGTAGCATAGCCCTCTCAATGCAGCAGATTTCTTTCTGCACGTGGCACTTGCAAGCAGGCAGGCTGCTATACTCTGTACTGGTCACAGCTTACATGTAGATGAAGCCCAAGGCAGAAAGCACATGACCAAATTCCCATCTAGCAGGAATTAAGAACTTTGTGAGGGTTTTGCTTGGTTTACTTACTAATTGACAACATTTATTAATCCACAACAGGTTCTTCAGTCACAAGCCAAATTAGAAAAATTCTGATACGGTTCATTTCTGTTTCATTCCATATTGTGCTGCATCAATGGTTAGTATCGGATTACTTGGGGGGAACTGGGGGAAAGATATAAAGGAACAGATTATTTGTCTTATGTTCTCTGGTTTATATTTCTAATATGAACTCCTCGTGAGGGTTAAAATATTTAAATAAAAATACTTCAAAATAAAGTGTACAGAGATCTCATCATTTCTCTACAAAGTAATTATGAGACCTCAAACCAGAGGTGGGCAAGAAAACCTCCATGGGCCAGATCCTGTCACCAAGTGGGTTGATTCAGTCCATGGACACCCTGCAGCTTCCCCTCTCCCAGGCCAATCGAGACCGGAAATAGGGGAGTGCATGAAGTCTCCTCCCCTCGCCGCAGCACCTAGAGTGAACGCAGCACCTAGAGTGAACCACCAGCTATTCAGAACAGCTGGTGGTTCTCTCTAGGTGCTGGGGAGGGCAGGGGGGCAAAGACTTCATGCACTCTCTGCCCCCAGGCCAATCAGGGTCTGTGGGCAGGGGAGCACGGAAGTGTCCTGGCCCCATATCTTCCAATCAAAGCCCTGCCCCTTCCACGGCAGCCCGGGAGGCACTTCAAAAATTTGTGAAGTGCCCTCCCTGCTTCTAAAATTATTGCCCACTCCTACCTCAAACAGTTTGCATTAATTTATACATCTGGGCCCATGACAATGAAATGCATTAAACGCTAAAAAGATGCATTTTTATATGATTTAAAATGTATCATACAATAATATCTCATATTCCTTCCTCTATAGCAGTGGTCACCAACCAGTAGGTCGGGATCTAATAGTAGATCTTGGAGCCTCTAACAGGTGATCCCGACTGGTTTGGCCAAGAGGCTATCAAGTGCCAGCACACAGCTGCCTCTCCCCGCACTGCTGCACAGCTCCTGCCCTCTGCCTTGGCGCTGTCCCCTTGGGAGCCTCCTGCTTGCTGGGCGGGAGAGGAGGGTGCTGATGTCAAGATGCCCCCTCTCCCATTCTGTATCCTATTTCCACAGAGCAAAGAGGGGAAACAACAAGAGTTGGGATGGAGGAGTTTTCTGGCTGTTTTGGGGAGTGGTGCAGGGCCAGGGCAGGGGTGAGCCTGCCTTAGCCCCACTGCACCCCTACCTGAGGTCAGCAGGGCCCAGCCGGAGCCCACATCCCGAAACCCTACCCCAGTCACGAACCCCCACGTACACTTCAAGTCCCTGCCCTAGAGCTCCGAGCACCTCTGCATCCAAACACCCTCCCAGAGCCTGCACCTAGCATCCCTCCTGCACCCCAACTGCCTGCCCCAAGCTGGGAGCCCCTCTCACACTCCAGATCCCATAACCGAAGACCAGAGTCTGCACCCCAGCCTGGTGAAAGTGAGGGAGGATGGGGGAGGAAGGAGTGAGCAGGGATGTGGCCTCGGAGAAGGGGCACAAAGGAGGTGGGACAAGGGTATTTGGGTCTGAGGTAGCTCTTCGATTGCACTTAAATTCAAAAAGTGATCTCGTGCTTAACAAGCTTGGAGACCCCTGCTCTAT